TTCCCAGATGGTTTTAAGCCCTTGTTGTCTAAGCCCAATCCGGTTGGATCTGCTTCCCTTTCTCCCTTGGGCCCTTCAGATGTGAACATGGATGTCCATTTTGATGAAATTGACCCCAAGGCTTCTCACTCCATTCTTGGGCCTATCCCACGGAATCCTGATGATACCCATTTTGCTGCTAATGCTACTTCTTTGCTGATGCGTGGAAAGGGCCCAAGCCCAGGTTTGTCTTTTATTTCTCCTTCTACCCCTCAAGTTTCAAATTTTATCCATATCTCCCCCCCCCCCATGTTTATGTTTCCTCTTCCTTAGATGCTGCTCCACCGACCCCTTCTTTACTTGCCCCTCCCCCCCTTTTACATGATGCCATTAATGATACTTTACCCTCAAATGTTAATGTTAAAAAGTCTAGTAATTCCCGTAATGCTTTTTTGGTGCAAAAAGAGGCTTTTTTAAAAGATAAAAAATCRTCGGTTTGGAACGGCAAAAATAGTGGCATTCTCCCTAATTCTTTTGCTCATGTTCTTAGCGGGTCCAATAAGCATGCWAATGATAATTTCCATTTTATTCCTAATGTTAGTGAAAATGTGGACTCCCCTATTGATATCCCATTATCGGTCGTTAAAAAGAGCTGCGAAACGTATGCTAAAACCTTATGTGGATATTTTGTTGGTAAACGTCTTCCTTTTCCGGTTGTCCATTTTTATGCCTCGAAATTGTGGTCCCAATTTGGTATTGAAGATGTGCTTTTAAATGGCCATGGTATTTTCTTRTTTAAATTTAGCTCTGTTGAAGGCCTTCAAAAAGTGATTGACAATGGCCCTTGGAATTTTAAGAACGTTCCTATTTTTATTCAAAAATGGAGGCCGGGTCTTAATTTAAATTCCAATTTACATGATAAAATTCCTCTTTGGGTTCGTATACATGATATTCCGTATGATGCTTGGAATGATGAGGGACTTAGTCACATTGCCAGTAAGATAGGTATTCCTCTTGCGATGGACTCATGGACGGTTA